AGAATTTATGGTTTGTTTGCAGGCGTCAGAAGCTGGAATCTGACTCTAGCCGTCATTCAAAAGAAGTGTTGAAGATAAACGATCCACCATAGGAAAGAAGAAGGTAATGGAACCGAATTTACTGCGAGGATTTTCCGACCACGTGAAAATTTATTTTTAGCTTATTTACATAGTTACTTATGTTTGTGTACCCGTACCCCGATTCATCTCGGCTAATCATTTCGATAAAGCAAAATGTCACGCTGCGAATTTTCGTACCTGGTGCAAAATGTAAAGGATAGGAATCCCTATCTTTGATGTTTATATGTTTCAACTTGATTTTTACTACCTAAAATACCTTAACTCAAAAATCGCTTGTTTCGCAGACGATTTCATAAGCGATATACATTTATAGACAGCTTTTACACTTGTTTTTGTCTCTTAAACTGTTTTTCACATTACTACATAGTATTTAATTTGCTCACACATACATATTACTTACTTTAATTATATATTTCATGTCGGGTCTGCTCAAAATGGGTATGATTTGATGACACCCCTAGTTGTTATGACTTTGTCCATACATCTTGCCCACCTTGTCCGCTCTATCGCATTTCTATGCAAACAAAGTTTTGTCGTAAAAACCTGGCCCATTGCCAGCTGATATGAACATTTTTGGCATCTCGCCAACTCTTCATACATTTTTCATCCAGGACAATATCGATTTATTAATTTCAGAAAAAATGCCAAATATGACAAATCTTACGGACATCGTGGAGGAAGACTGGATGGATCTTTGCGATGACGGATCCTTGCTGGATCAAGACGTCGTGCGATACCCTCTTATTCTAATCTACTTGATCGTGTTTACCATATGCTTACTTGGTGAGTGCTTTTGATTTTCAGAATTGAGTTGGGTTTAATTTGGAGAGAAGGAAACCCGGATTCACGGATGATTAGTAATAAATTTTGAATATGTAAATATTATACGTTGTGTGGGTGCACTTAAAGATGTATGTATAAGCATGTAAGATAAACGCAGTTATATAATATTTATATGAATGATCAATATACTAGGAATTTATAAATAAAAATCACTGAATGGGATAAAATGTGG